TATATATATTCTTAAGAAAAAGATATATTCCACTTATAAAGAGTTAAAATAATGATATATTTTGTGTGATATCAAAGATTTGGACGGCATATATGTAAAAAAATAAAATTTAGATGTTAGATATGTAAATAAATAGGAATTGCATGGTATGTATGTAGTGAGAAACATGTAAATAAATGCCTATTTTTTATATATAATTTTGAAGATTTTTTTATGTAGGCACTAGGAAAACTTTCATCAATATTTAATTTTTCGTCCATTAGTCTTGTTTGGTCGGCGGAAAAATTATTCCTTGCGGACACCGCATGCAGGATGTATGCGGTGTTCGATCTCGGCCGTTCATCACCGTGGAGATGGAATTTTTTTTTAAAAAAAAAAATTGAAAGTGGGCCCACCTCCGCTGTGATGGACGGCAGAGATAGAACACTGCATGCACACGAAATAATTTTTCCGGTCGGCGTGGCGCAAACCTAGTGGCTCTAACGAGTCAATTTTGTCATTTGTATCTTTCACAAGGATTTAAGTGCATTTTGACAAGTTCTTAACTCATGCTTTTCTTCTAATAAGTCTATACTTAAGAAATTCACATTAAAAGAAATTTCTGTAAGTATATTAAATTTAAATTTGATCAGATCAATGTATTATATAATTAATTAATTAATCATATTACACTCAACATAAATTAAATTTAATATTTAAAAAAAATGATTAAATTAAATTTAAACCAGGATATTTTCATAGAATTCTTAAATAAAATTAAAATTAGTTAATATTTGAGGTCATTATTAGATTTTGTGCTTATTGATTCTTTTTAATGAAATTCAAGTTGTTTATTGCATTTGTCTAAGACTTTTGATTTCATTTATAAATATTTATATTGCCTAAAAAAATATTGAGAAAAATGCCTATCCAAAATTATTCTTGAGGGCTAGAGAAGACAAGTGTAAAATATAAATGGCAAGATGGAGAGTATCGGAAGGCGGTTGTATGTACGTGTGGTCAATTAATCGGATTTGAGTACACAATGTGTAGTGAAGTTTGCTCGAAAGTGATCGGTTGCTCACACATACGTTCAACATGCATAAATTTTTTCTGCAAAATTTGGTACTATAATTATTTATTGTCATATGCATTCATCCATCTATGTTTATGGGGCCACTAATGCCTACTTTCTAATATTTTCATCAAAACAATGTAGACATGCCTACCGTATGAGATATAATTTTAGAATTCTTTATTTTTTCGTATGTATGGAGAGGAAAACATATGAAAGATGGCTCACTCCACTCTTTCTCGAACTCAAACCAAAAGTTCTTCCTCCAGCAAACACCATCTTCTTTCAGACCTTTCACCCAATACAGAATATGAACTCAAGAATAATACAAGACAATATGTCCTAATTGAATTAGAGTATTTCACTTTTAAGAATTTAAATTTTGATATTTAGATGAGATATGAAAGATTTGAGCAATATGAATATTTTAAAATAAGTTTATGTGTTAAATATGCAAATTCATAGGAATTGAATAATATGTATTTAAATTAAATAAAAAAATCTACAAAAGAGAAGATGCCCAAATTTTCAAAAAGACTAAAATAGTATTCATCCCTTTTGTCTCATATTACGTCTGGCTACATAAACATACATAAATATATATATAAATATATA